TTTGACGGCTTTTCGGAAGGCCTGGAGAGAGGTGAGGGTCCGAATCCCTGCGGGGAGTTCATTCCAGAGGAATGAACTAAGAGACAGTGCAGACCTGATCTGGTAGGAGAAGGAGGAAGAGGTTCAGAATAGCCATATCCTAGAACAGGGGTGTCAAACCCAAGACCTAGGACCCGGATCCAGCCCATAGGGTACTTAGATGTGACCCCCGGAGTCACCTTGGAAACAGCAAAGGATCGACCCACAGTGCTTCTGCCAGCAAAATCGGGCTCAGTTTTCGGCTGCCACAGCTTCCTGCAACCCTCTGTCAATGAAAATGGAGCTCGCGAAGGCCGCACGCAGGCCCCCTTCTCCAAGGTCCATTTTCACTGGCAGAGGTTGCAGGAGGCCGCGGCAGTCGAAATAGGAGCTCGGGAGCCTAGTTTCCCTGGCAGGGCACTCGGGCCACCACAGGCGTCTCTGACATGAGTGACATCGAGCTGGCCCCACCTACCCTGGCCCCTTGAGGTCAAACACAACCCTGATGCAGCCCTCAATGAAATTGAGTTTGACACCCCTGCTCTAGAAAAAGGATAGCGCTTTTTTTTTTTTTTGGCAAGACTGTCTTTTAGCTTTAAGCAAATAAAGGATTAGACTTGTTTGAATCTTGTTGTGTTGTCTTTGGGCTCGGGGCTGACAGACATGGTTCAAGCATAGCACTCTAATTTTCCTTATCCCAATAATAAATACAGGTAGTCCTCAACTTTCAACCATCCATTAAGTGACTGCTTGAAGTTACAGTGGCACTGAAAAAAAGCGACTTATGACATGGCCGTTTTCCACAGTTACACCTGTTGCAGCATCCCTATAGTCATACGTGGCAACTGATTCACATTTATGACGGTTGTGGTGTCCCAGGGTCATGTGCACCACCTTTTGCAACCTTCTGACGAGCAAAGTCAATGGGGGAAGCCAGATTCACTCTAAATCGTATTACTGAATTAACAAACGCAGTGATTCGCTTAATAGCTGTGGCAAGAAAGGTCGTAAAATGGGGCGGAACTCACTTAACAACTGTGTCGCTTGGGAATAGTAATTTGGGGCTCAATTGTGGTCATAAATCGAGGACTACCTATGTGCTACAGTTTATGTGACACTTCTATAGGTGGATTGATCATTAAATATAACCAGGTGTAAATCACCGGTTAGGGTTTTGGTTGAGAAATGGGGAGAAGTAGGTTCATCTTCACCCTCGTCCATGAAATCTCACTCGCTAATTCAGGGTCTGTCGTTGTCTTTCAGCCCAACCTGCCCTTTTGGTGGTTGCTGAAGAGCAGGGGTGTCACGTGACATATCAGGACTCCCCCCCCCCTTCGCTAAACTGGGCGTGGTCAGTGCATGACGCATCCAGCCCATGGCCCAGGAGTTTGACAGCCCTGCTGTGGGGACAAATTGGAGGAACAAATGCTGTGTACATTGTCTTGAGCTTCTGAAGGGAAGGCAGGATGAAAGTTTTATGAGCTAACGAATACTTCCTTTCTTCTTTTTTTATAGTGTCCAATAAATGGATCCATGAACGTGGGCAAGAGTTTCGAAGACGGTGTGCCTTATCAGAGTTTGAATGATATCAGTCCCCTTTTTATTTTTTTAGTCCAAATTATTTCCCCCTTTCTCATTGCCTTGATTAACAGTGATAGTTTACACTAATATTCCACTCCAACTTTTGTCTCCAGTGCCAATCACTCTTTCGTCTACATGAAATATTTTATCTACAGACAAAATATATATACATCTATATATTTTGCAGATATATCCATTTAAATGTTTTTTTTTAATTGAACGATATATTTCATTTCTAACAACCGTAAGATGCCATGGCTAAAAATGTTCTGCAGAGACACCAAGCTTGGGAAGGAAGCAGAATGGATATATGAACTTTTCATCATCTGGCAAGTGCTTTGCTTGGATGCTAAGGTGTTATATGTCACTTCTACTTGTTTCTTTGGTTTCAAATGCCCGAACACTTCTGTAGAACTGGGGCTAAGGGTCATAAACCAGAGTTGATTGACTTCAAAATTTCTACTAGCCAGTTGTGTTTTCTGGACCTTCACTCCTGATGGTCCGGTTTTTTCAAGTGCCAAAAAACTTCAGAAACAAATTCTCCCTCCCAGTATAGTTTTTTTCCCCTTATGCCTCACAAATAAATTGAGCTAATTCCAAGAAATGTGCCAGCAACTGTCCACATATAAAAGGCTTGAACAGAACTGCAGTTGTGCTTTGTCTGAGTATGCCGGAGGATGCTGTTTGAAGGCAGGTTGTAGAAAATGACTTTTGTGTGTGTGTCTAAGTACGGCTCTTCTTTTTAAATTTCACTGTGATTCAAGATTGTAATTTTAAATGTACTGCTGCTTTTATTCTGTAAGGAAGAACAATTTTACCCCGCGAAGGCATGGAGACAAGATCAGTTCTTACTTAAACATAGAGCACTGTGCCTTATCTACCGAGTCTGAATTTGTATGAAACCATATGTATAAGAAAATGCATACTCCCCTTACCAACAATACCAAACTTATTTTCCAATGGAGGGGCTTTGTGAAAAAGACAATATATTTATAATACAAAATCTTTTTGAAAGTTCTTTGCGGTGTGGAGAATGATTTATGTTGTGAGCCTCAGGGATGCGTTGTCTCTGATAGAAATCGTTAAACAAAGTTTCTGTTCATACAGGATGGTGTACAAATAATTCTGAAAAACATACATATCACAATAGCACTTATATACCATTCGGTAGTGCTTTACAGCCCTCTCTTAAGCAATTTACACAGTCAACATATTGCCCCCAACAATCATGGGTCCCATTTTACTGACCTCGGAAGGATGGAAGGCTGAGCTGGCCAGGATCGAACTTCTGGCAATGGGCAGAGTTAGCCTGCAATCGTGCATTCTAACTACTGCGCCACCAATGGCTTATATACAGGGGTAGGCTTCAAATTTTTTTAGCAAGGAGTTCTCTGCCCGGTTGCTGGGTGGGCGTGGCCTGGTCGGCGTCCTGCGCCGTGGCGGGGAGGGTGGGGTGTTTTTGCCCTCAGACTCCAGAAGCTTTCCTCGCGCTTCCGGGAGGGCGAAAACAGCCTCCCATGCTCTGGAGGATGGAAATGGGCCCTTTTCTGGTCTTCCCAAATTTCTGGTAGGCCCATTTTGCACCCTCCCCAAGCCTTCGCGCACGCCCTGCACTTACCTGCATCTAAAATGGGCCATGTGGGGGACTCCGGGGAGGGGAGGGTGGGATTTGAGGGTTCTCTGAACTGCACAAAATCTTAGCTAGAGGTTCACCCAAACTCCCAGCTGCCCACCGCTGCTTATACCTATACAACAAGCTTCTCTAGTTTTATATTTCAGGCTTTGTTTAATATTTTTGTAGTGGCCTCCACGAAGAGTTTTTAGCCCCCTTAATCTTTCCTAAGAGTTACATTTCAATAAAGAGGGATGATTAATAACTTCAGGTACATTGATATTCATTAGTTGCTAAATTCAGTATTTCCAAGCAGAAAGAGCTGCTGTGCTAGAATCCACTGAAAAGGACCTCTTGCTTCACGTGAGCCTATTTAGTTATGAAGCTTCCCAGCTTAATCCAGGATTCCTCTGAGAGCAGTAAATAGCAATAGCAGTTAGACTTATATACCGCTTCATGGGGCTTTCAGCCCTCTCTAAGCGGTTTACAGAGTCGGCATATTGCCCCCAACAACAATCTGGGTCCTTACCTGGCTGAGCAGCTGCAGCAGGGAGGGCCCCANCCTTCCCCTGCCATGCCCACCAAGCCATGCCCACAGAACTGGTAGTAAATTTGAAAATTTGAATTTCACCAGTGCTTACTATCTTCCCGAGAACAATCTGGCTGGCTGAAGGTTTTGGACAAGGCAGTCCCACACTGATTACAATATGTAATCAAGCTTGGAGTTTACCAGCACATGTATTGGACTTCTAAGGTTATCACTTCCAGAAAAGGACTCAGTTGTCTTATCATCGAAAGTTGATAAAAGCTGTTACCTCATTTTAGGAATTCAGGGAGAGATACAGGTCCCAAAACATTCCCTTCACCTTCCTGGAAATATGGCCTTTCATAGAGAGCATCTCCCCCATCTTTCTAGATTCTGTTAGGATTTATTATTCTAATCTAGCCCACTTCTGACTATGAACAGGCATTAAAGAAAGTTGCATCATTATCTGGAAATGTTACAGAGAAATAAATTAGAGTGTCATCAACTTGTTGATGGCATCCAGGTCCAAATTTCCTGATGAGCTCCATGATTTCATGTGAACATTCAACGAGAAACAGCTGTCTTATGACACTCTGTGAATGTACCTGAAAATTAAGAAAATAATCACTGCAAAACAATGCCTCTTATTCTCAAATCTTTTAGATAATTCAGAGAATGATCCTGGAAACTGCTGAGAGGTCAAGAAGAACCAAAATACCATTTCTTTTTTATCCCCAAGTCTTGATTATCCAGCAGGTTGCCAAAGTCCGTGGGTCCTGAAGATAGTATGGAATGAGGTACAGACAGTCCTCATTTAGCAACTGTCTTGTTCAGCAGCCGTTTCCAATTATGATGGCATTGGGAAAAAATAACTTTATGACCAATCCTCACATTTGCAACATTCTCAGGTCTGTAAAGCAAATAAAAACCAAAGCAGGATCATAAGCACAGGTGCCTTTTTGCTTAGTAACTGCTTCAGGTGTGGTTCCTAAATGAGGACTACCCAGGTGTGGTTCCTAAATGAGGACTACCTGTATTGTGCAGAAAAAATGTCTTACATTTTGTCCCCACCAATTCTTATTCAATATGATTAAAAAAATCAGCAGAGGAAACGATTTTGGAGAAATTGCCATAGATATAGTATATTGTTCTTGATTCTGTTTAGTTATGAAGCAGTCAAATAGTATGTGAGAATGTCACATCTTTCTTTTTCCATTAGTCTCTGGTCTTCTTGGCTTCCTGAACTTCTATGAAATACCAAGAGAAGAATTCATGAGACCAGATGGGCTTTTGCAGACTAGAAAATTGATGTTTTTTTATTTTGTTTATGTATAATGTTTATCTGTAAGCTGCCCAGAGTCATTATGGATTTGGGTGGTCTCAAAATTAAAACAACAAATAAAAAAATAAGATTGGGCAGCCAGAGAACTTTCAAAACAGAAAGCTATAAAATCAGAAGTATCTGAACTCATTAGAGCAATCTTAAAAAAACCACCCTTATTGTGTTTGAAAAAAATTTCCACACATCCTGAGAAAAAGAGGAAAATGAAAGTCCTTCTTAAAGAGAAAGAGAAAAATAATGTTTTTTAAAAATATATATTTAAACTATTTTAAAAGATTAAGGGATATACCTATCACTGACATGTTTCACCCTAGCATATAGAAATTCTTGACAGGGAAAAAATGCTGACTTCTCTCTGATATTTTTTTCTTGAACATTCTGAATTGTTGATTTATTGAATGACAATTGGCTTATCATGAAGTATCTTTGAAAACAGAGTGGTTTTAGAGGTTTTAGAGGTTTTATTTGCATTTGTAGGCCGCCCTTTTCCCTGAGGGGACTCAGGGCGGCTCACAGAAAACCAGGG